GACATTCTCTGCCTATGAAAGATTCAATGAAGTTCGAAGGAAAGTTTCGAAGCCGAGCTGAATATTCTAGATAAAAGGTGGAAAACGCGTCGCTTTAATGACGTGGCTTGCTACAAGTGTATACCGTATCATGCGATTGGCAAAAGTATAGCTCAAAGTGGGATAAGAAAATGAAAGAAGAGTACTTTCAACTCTTTTGCCCCTACATTTGTGTCAAAATCAACATCTCTGATCCATAGTTATGAAGGAAATTGCATAGCAAAGGTATTTTGTTTTTAATGAAAAAATCGGTGACACAACGGGATTTGGAAATTTCAAGTTCAGCAGGGTATTCTTTCAAAAATATGACTGGCCAGGTTCAAGAATGAGATACTTAAGGAGAATCCTTCTGGACACAGATAGATCAGGTGGTTTCTCTATTTTACTTGAAGCTTGATGAATATCCAAACATTGCAGAATAACGTCTTCGTTGCTATGAATCAACACAGAAATAGTGTGCTAAGTAAACACTGAATTGTCAATCTTATTTTAAAAGCTGTAATTTGTGCTTTTATTCCAAATGATTGACAGAACCAATTAAAAATCCGAAGTTTTACAGCAAAATTGTTTGTCATAATTCTTTCCGATGGAGTCAGCTGCTAGGTTACCGATGTTTTGTCACTAATTAAATTCCTTTGTAAAGAAAGTTTCAGCATAATATTCTGTATGGAAAAACATTACAATTTTGGTAGGACTCTCAAGTGAATTTCCAGTCTTTAACATAAAAGGATTGTGCAAATCTAACTAGAAGAATTGCGCTTATTGTGAAAAATCTAGTAAGATATACATTGTGGCTATAAATGTGTAAGAGTTGAATTCAAATAAACTTGCAAACATAGTTACTCTTTAACGCATCGGCACTTTGATTTGTGGGTAATTTTTAAGGCTTGCATGTTATCAAACAAATTACAAAAGGGAGGCCTCAGTGTTATTAAACAATATTAAACTTTGTTACAGAAATGTAGACAGCCATGTGGAATTCAGCACATGTCAGATCTTCTTTCACGCGCTAGAATTCTATGCAGAGACATTTTCTCGAATCTTGTCTCTTTTGGCCTTATTCAAGTTTATAATCAATGCAGGTGTGCGCAATGCAGCTTATAATCACCAGGTTTCTTTATTCTATAACCAGACCAGATTACTATGACTTTAAGATCAAAGACAGAATGGCAGCAAATCTCTCGGGTTGCTATATTCAGAAAAGGGGACCGTACTATCCGACCTACAAACCTAAAAGTTTTGTTACTAGCCATACCTCAAAAGAATTCATTAGAATTAATTATTATCACCACAAAAAGCAATTTCAGGCGCATGCGCTGAGCGGCGATGTGGGGCAATAGCAATGCAACAGTCAATTAGTACTATGAGTTTGTCATATGACGCAACACTTGAGATCAGTATTTTTTGCAGTCCTACCTTTATTCTAAAGAATCGTAACTGATTTAACAATACTTAAACGAGAGAAAATGAAAACTTCTTGCTCTAAATACAATCCATTAAACGATCAGTTCTCTTTAAAGTGCCGGTGAAGAGCACGCGTACTGATTTATTATGTGATTTGTTCTGGGAAACCTTTTTGTTCATTTTCTTGGTGTTTTATTTTGTTTAATGATATAATGTATTTTCTAGCTTAGCTTGGTTAGATTGGTATTTTGTTACTCTCAAGCTAATTTTATCAATTTTTATAATGATCGATAACTTCTCTGGACCAGACTGTTTATGAAAATTGAGTAGAAATGAAAAAGTATTTTCTAAAAGGGGCGTTTTCCGGCGTTTTGGAGGGCGTGGCCTCAAAAAGTTTGGTCACACCCATTTCAGCCCCTCCACTTTTAGACTGGTGCGCGGTCCCTGGTGGCTGACCAATGCTTGCTCTAAGTCTACTCTTTATAAGCTTTAATTTACTGAACATTCGTTCACATGAAACTTGCATGCAGCCCAGAGTTATAACAACTTTATAGCAACATAAAGAGCAAGATACGACGAGACATGCATGTTGTACACATGCAAAGTCCAAGGACATTTGACAGGCACTCTAGTTTCAAAGATAATATTTTTGTTCTGTAGGCACCATAGGCGGAGTTGTTTTAGAGGCCCGATCCATGATGCATGTCAATTACAAATTGAAGCTCCCCACTATCGCTAGGAAGGGGGAGCCTTAAATAGAAAGAGGGTAGAGGCTCCCCCCTTCCTAGCGATAGTCACAGGAGTGCGAATTTAATGCGCACAAGAGTGTAAGCAATTTTTTTCAAATCGAGGTTTATACACCTTTTGTCTTTTCCGAGGCTAATCTATGTACCCTGCCGTAGGGCCACTGGCAAGCCCGCGTAGCGGGCTTCGTAGGAGGGCTAGTCTTCCGTTAATTGAAAGTTGCTTCAAAACATTTGCAAGCCCAGGTCTATTCGTGTTTTTCATTTAAATATTTTAATGGTTTACCACCTTAGTAAGCCCCCCTCGTATAAGCCCCCCTCGAATTAGCCCCCTGGGGGCATATTTATTTTTGATATTTTCGGACGGGAGCTTATTCGAGGGGGGGGGGGGCTTATACAAAGGGAGGGGCTTATAAAATTATTGTAGACAGTAAGAAGACATTATTAAAGATCTCGTTTATTTTAGTAGAAATTTCCTTAAGAGCATTTATTTATTAATTAAGGTATGAATTTTAGTGGTAATTTAATGAAATGCCAAAGGAAACCAAAGGATGCCAGTAGGGGCTTATTCGAGAGAGGGCTTTTGAGGCTAATTCGAGGATTTACGGTGCTTCTAACACTTATCGCGGCTATCGAGTGCCAGCGTAGCGGGCTTCGTAGGGGAGCTAGCCTCCTGTTCACTGAAATGTGCATACAGATTTAATGTATTACGGTTGCAATAACGAGTTAAATACATTGTGCGGGCCCCGAACTATTCGCGGTTCTCGTTTACGTATTTTCACGGGTTACCCCCTTAAGCTCTCCTGTTTTTTCTGGTCTCAATGATTAAGTTTTTTATCACTACATTTCGTTTAGCCCTTATGGGGCTCGTTTAATATTTTTCAGACATCTAAAAGCTCCGTTTGTTATTCTAAATTTTGCTTTGACGTTTGACACATGAAGTTTGATGTTTTACTCTCAGAAATTCTTTTATATTATTATTAGTATTATTATTCTCCTATTTATACAGAATTCAGAATCAAATGTTCAATTGTTCTAACCATATACTTTTAGCCGTCGTTTACTTGTGGAGATGCTCGAAAATAGGGCCATGCTTTTCGCAAAAGAAAAGAGTTTTCGTGCAGAATTTTTCTTATGAGTCTTTTTTTGATTACCCTTCCCAACCCATCCGTACTTTTCAACTGGCGTCGGAGCCTAGATATCGCTGCTGAAGAGAGAGAGAAAAATGTTTTGAAAACTTTCTGAAAAGATATGAATGAGAAAAACGTTGACAAAGGTTCTCCCATGGAATTTCCATAAATGTGCAGCGATGGACAATGGCAACGCGATAACAAAAAATATTATATTGCGGATTGCGGAAAGCTGTTGAAAAAAGTTGACAAAAGGCTCTTCCATAAAATTTCCACAAATGAAAAGCAATGTACAATGGCAACGCGATAACGAAGAAAAATGTTATATATCGAAAAAACCAAGGCAGAAATCGAAAAACAATGCCCCTAATGGACCAACCTGTAAAAATTGAGCAAAATCGGACCAGGGGCGCGAGAGGAGATACGGATCGCAAAACAATGGCGATCAGCAGCAATATCAGCGTTTTTAACTTATCTGCATATTCACATATTAGTTATATTGTGTTATAGTGTTACGAAGGAGTGATCAGATTCAATTTGTCGACAAAAATTGGCTAATCATCCTTAATTTGCCAACAAGCCTGAAAATTTGCCCTACAAAGCTCGCTAAATGGCGAAAAACTCCTCGTCTTTACTATGATTTTTTCCAAGGGGGGTGTTACTTCTCGCATCACACCGTGGCGACGGCCCTGCATAAAGGAAAAGTCATCATGTAAAATCAAATTCCTTCAGATGTCCTGACCTGTTAGGTTAAAGGTCGTGACCTTAACTTAGGTTTATTTGGTACCCCTGTGTTTGGACCAAACTTACTATTAGCTGTTATTGCGATTGCTCAAATTAGTAATATGAATCCCAGTATTCAGATTATTAGATTATTCTTTTACAACATTCAAGTCGAAGTCATGTAACTTTTGAGTGAGATTTATCCTTATTTTCGGTTAAGTTTAGCTTGTCTCTGTAGAACCTGCATTTGTAAATAATATCGATTCATCACGACGGAACAAGAGCTACACAGAGATTCAATCTTGATTTTCAAAACTGATGACGGAAAAGAGACCGAAGAGACTTTGCCACTGGGGGATTCGCAATGAGGTATGGCTGCTTCAGGTAATCGAGGCTTTGATTTTGGACGATTTTTTAGACGAGGGAATTGTCAAGATGGCTGTTGAGAATTCAAATTACGATTTCAACTTCCTTATCGCCGTGTTAAATCAAATGGCAGCGATCGCTGGGCGATCGCAGATTTATTTCTGCCCTACTTCAACAAAAAATTTTTTAGCAGATTCTTGAAGGTTGTGCGTGATCAGTACCACGGTTGTTCAATGTTTTGGTTATTTTAGGGCTCGGTTTCTTTTGGATGGTTTCTCATAAACAAAATCAGTACGCTTTGAAATATTGGTTCTTTGCTTTATATATAGACTTATTTCCAGCTGGTTTCCAAGAAAGTCTGAAATATACAATGAGGTTTTTACGATGGAGAATTATATTCATGAAATGCTCAGTCCCAGTAGCCTTGGCTTTGAACACAATGTTATACATGGCCTTACATAAGCTCAAGTTGCGCGCATCAGTTGATCGTCCCCGTGGAAACTTGAGCCTATCTAAAACTAAACGCCCTGTACTTAACAAAGTTAAAGAAACTGTAGATATTCACTGCATGCAAGAAAAGTTTAGCTGAACTTACCATGTTTGAAGTCTTCAGTGCTTGCTTTTACTTTTTCGAAGCTTTGGAAAACCTTCCACTCTTTCAGAAGGCTTTTGCAAGATGCGAAGCATAAGCTGAAGGAGATCAAATTGCATTCTTAACATAACAACATCGGTAAAGAGATAATCCACCTGGTAGAAACTGTCAGAAACGATCAAAATGTATTTTGATCGCTTGCTAGCCACAATTGTTAACACCAAAATATTTGTATGTTAATTTGCAGAATAAAAACACTATTGTGACGATATTGAACATTGAAAGTTAAAAAACGAGTGACCATGAATTTTGTATCTTCAACAGGGGCACAGGAGGTGGTTGGGCTTGCGACCCTTTCCCTTTCCCTTGGCAAAATGCAGACCTAAGCCCAACAAAAAACCTGATGCAAATGAGGTATCATATTTCCATTTTCCAATTGCTGTATAATAGACAAAATTGGATTAAAAGTAATGGCGCAAATAAGTGGTGGGTGATTCGGTGATGCAAAATCCCCATCATTTCTAACCAGTCGGTCCCGGACTTATCTATAATTGTGAATAGTCGCTCCTTTTTAGGGCTCATGAACTGGGTGAGGGAACTACAGGTAAGAGATTATGTCGACCAAATGGAGGAAATTTGGGGGTTTATAGGGGGTTAATTGCCCCTAAAAAGCGTCCTCGTCGGGAAATTCAGGCTTTTGTTAGATAATCCGAAGGCCCATGACAAATTATAGTTCGTCGGAAAATCGTGGGCCGAAAGCCTGAATTTCAGTCACTGTGACCGTTCATCAAAAGAGCAAAATAACTGCCAAAGAGATCGGAAATTAAATAAACCTTGGAAAAGTTTGAAGACCAAAAGGCAAATTTTGATATGCCTCTGACGTTTTACTCGAGAGAAGCACTCGTCCCAAATTAGCCACTAAAAAGTCAGACAAATGTCACAAAATGGGAAAAAATGGAGTGTCAAATATCAGTTGTCCTAATGGAAACAGAAAATTTGGCAAGTATGCAGCCGAGGCATGCAAAGTACGCTTGGCAAAATGTGAATCTTGTTTGACGTTTCAAAACATTGTAGAAGACAGAAAAGAATGCTGCACGAGCAGACTCTTTGCGATCAGATAGCTTTGGAAAGGATCCAAAATTTCATAAGAAATGGAAAAAACCCGATGCAGAAGATGCACTAGCATAAATCAGCAACTTCAAGTTACAACAGGAATGTACATAACCGTATTTGTAACAGGTACGAAGGTAGAGAAGATAATTCGCCATTCAGCAAAACATCTTGTTCGTCAACCAAAACCTTTTACAACAATCTTTCAAACCCTTCTTCCATACACTTTGTATCTTTCACTCCTCCACGCGGTCTTACAAAAACACGTGATCTAAAGTTCAAAATTAATCTGGGGGCTGATCCGGGGGATGGTGTTTTTACGTACGTGATTTTGCTCTCGGTTACACAGACCCTCTACTTTCAACTTAGAGGTCTGGAGCACAGGCTAGTGTTTGAGGGGGCGTTTCCGAGAAACAAGGGCTCAACCCCCAACAATTGAGGGAAATTGTTCTTTCAGGCATTGACTGATTGTGGTAATTTTAATATCAGTTAAGCATAATATTACTTATAATAAGCTCTATATCAGCGAATTTGGTCATTAAAAAACCGGTTCCTATTTTTGAGGGGCCTATGAACTTTCAACATTTCATCTTGTCGGAAGAAAAACCTACAAAATTTGCACTTTTCAAACATTTTCCTAGGAAAATGCGGCTAGAATGTATTTTCAATGAATCTGCTAGTCTTAAAAAGGTCTCCAAATGCTTTATGCGATTTTCCTGTAAAGACAGAACAAATAGGAGCTAAAAGATATTATTCTTCATAATTTTCCCCATCAATGAAAATCAGTTTATTACGTCATTTGTCTTTACACTTTCTTAGGCCTACGCAGTATCGTAAGATGATCCATCTTTGAGCTCCATTCTTTTTTATAAAAAACAGAAAATGTAAGTTCAGGCTGGTTTTTTTCTCTCGAAGATTTGCAGCTGGATTTCTCTTAATTTGTTTTGGAACTATTTAGCCTGTGTCCCAGACCGTTAACTTGAAAGTAGAGGGTCTGTGTAGCCGAGAGCAAAATCGCGTGCGAGCGCTTCCCAGGATCTCTGGGAAAATTAGTTATGCGTAAAATATGCGGCATCTTCATGACAAAAGTGAGCAATGGCGTATGTTTACGCATTCAAATAACGAAAAGAAATGAATGAGTATTCAAAGTTTCTATTTATTTAGATTCAACGTAAGACAATTTGAAAATGACTCCTGAAAGACTTTGACGCCTAGAAAATTGTTGCCCAGCGCGAGGATGGAAACATTTCAAAACCGGAAGATGAGTTTGTATCAAAACGAACACTTTGTTGTTGATAAGTCGATTGACGTTACAAAATCAATTTTAAACATCAGAATTTCAAAATTTCAAACAACAAACAAGGGAGATTTGTGCTTTTAAAGCGAAGAAATTACTAGCCTGTCTGGAAAGTACAAGGTCTAGGCTTACTACCCTTCTTTGCGCCCAAACTTTAGTCCACTATGGTAGGCAACCGTATCTGAACATATGTTAAATGTTTCATAAATCTTTAGCCATTTTCATTGCCTGGAAACTTGTATTTATAAGTGAGGTCTTTTTCTGCTGCTTGAAGGCAAAGCGTCTTGTCCATTTTTCTATTTCCGGCCATTTCTTATATAATGTGACAGTCATATTTTTCGTCATCGTATTCACCATCAGATCCTATTCCATAAAAACGAGAATCCATCTCCACAATCTAGCTAGTAAATAACAGTCTTCTACCATGCCAAATCTGAACACTCTACTCGATGCAAATCGACTCGACCAGTGGCGAAGCCAGGTTTGGTGGGACGGTCAGGCTCAGATACAATATGCCACGCCCTTTTTGTCCACGCCCAATAATAAAACGCCTACTTCTAATTTGTCAAAATTTATTCATGGTGGAACAAGGGAATTGGAACAATTTTCCAACAAATTTAGTTCATTTTGTGAGCTACCAGCAGTAAGCGATGATCAAAGAACTCTGTAGAAAATTTAATTTTCATATGGTAATGTCAAAAGTCAACCAAAAGTAAGTAGAATTTACAGAATGACTGGCTTCTGATTATGGGCTAGTACAACAATTTCATCATTTAGCTTAGAAGGAATTTTGAATTTTTTTAGAATAAAAACAAAAAAATGAAACAGAAATAATTTTCTTATTTTCATTACGCTTCCCCCCCCCTGGCTCTCAACAAGTGCAGTAGTACACAAAAGATGCCTTTTGTTTGTGACGATTCATTAGTCAACAACATACTATTCACACTGTTTAAGTTAATATTTCGACACATTAACTTAAATCAATAAAATAAACGTGATTGTGAACTGCAGTGTAATAACACATTTCAGCTCCGCGTTAAACATGATCAGCCTATCAAGAGCGTCCAAACAACGTTAAAAAATCGATGCAATTCACTTTGATTGAGCGGCAAATTTTATAGTGATAAGCCTGACAGGTAGCAAATATATCAACAAAGTTCCTTTCCACACGACTGATGTTCTTTGAGGGCCAGTAAAACACATTTGTTAAAGGCATTATCGTAGCAGTCACCTTAGAATACATCACTCTGCGTCTTCTGAGTGCAACATGGGCCTATCCTCTCGTTCTGCTCGATTGATAGCCTACCACCAGAAGGTTTCACAGACAAATGAGCGAAAATAACTTGCACTAGAAATGCTTCCATGCCTTGACTTTCCTCTTTGCGAATTACAGTAAAGTATCACAAAATTGAACCACGCTTCCCCTCAGATTTGCAAGCCATAACAACTTTTTGACAAAATGTGCATTGAAGTGAATTCCAAAACAAGGTCAAGCCATTTCGAATGAGCCTGATCAAATTTATACTTTTGACCAGGTATTATTTCTGCCAAACACACAAGATTGTATCCCTACCCAATGAAGTAAGACGCTTGACTGTTTTAAGAAAGTGGCAAGAATTATTACCCTTGAACTTATTGTTTCCTTAACAATTGGTCAGGCCATTCCGAAATAGCCTGACCAAAATGTCAGAAACAATGCGTTCACGTGAAACTTCTGGCCAATCATTCAGTAAAAACTATGACGTTGGTCAGGCGAATTTCTGGGAGCCTGACCTTGATCATAATCATAATCAGAGGTGAAACACTGCTCCATAAATAAAAGCGCTCCGCCGCAAAATTCGCTAATATCTGAAGATGATAGAGAAGGACATGAAGAAGAGATATTTTTCTTTCTTAGCGTTATTTTTTCATTATGGGAAAAACATATCACTGAAAATTGTTGGTAAGGCTCAGCCTGACCAGCCTGCCCTCTGGCTTCGCCACTGAAACAGAAAACGCAAAATGCGTTGGTAACAGTCTTTTTATCAGCTTTATTATTAGAAGCTCTTTAGGGTTGACGGTCAACTTGTAAAGTTCGTTTAGACATCTGTGTTAAGATCGACGTCCTGCTAGATTTGATTTTGTTGCAAACAATTACATAAATATGGTGTCATGTGAAGGCTTCAGTACCATAAGAGTGAGCTCAATACCATAGAAGTATCACAATGAAAGTTTATGGATGATAGAGGGAATAGATGAGCATAACAGACAACTGATAAAAGCAGATATCAATTCAGACCCCGTTTACACTAGCACGGATCCAAATGGATCCCTTACCCAAACTAGCACACTGATAGGCGTTTCGTTTACACTAGACCTGCTGGATCCGTACTCATTTGGGTCTGCAATCTGGACCCGACTCACAATGTTAGTGTTATGGTTTAATTCCTGGCTGCAGTATATTGCTTTTCTATGTTCTCAACACAGGATTCGTCAGTTGAGACTAGCTTTGGTTATATCTAAACAAAGCAGCCTGGGACTAGGCCTACATCATAACATTCAACAACAGCGACATAGGCACCGCAAACCAAGAAGATTCTGGCAATGACCAGGAAGAACCCGCTTTTGGTAAGTCCTGAAGAATAGTACGAGAATTTTAGACTAACTACGATCGTTCTTGCAAAAGCGAACAACTCACTTGAGAAAGCCTTTGTCTGTTGAAACCCAATGGGAGGTCAAGTAGCCGAGATAGAGGACTGGATCCGTGCTAGTGTAAACGCGATCTAATTTGGATCCGTTCCAGTGTAAACACCAACAAAACTGGTCACGGATCCAAAGTGAATCCGTACCCATTTGGATCCGTGCTAGCGTAAACGGGGTCTTAGTGTGGAAGAGAACAATACAATTTTAAATTTTACTGATTAACAGATCCGGTTTACAGTGTTCCTCATATTTAAGGCCATTTTGTTTAAAAGGATTTGATGCAAGTTTTCTTTATAATGCAATAACATGAAAGAAGGTAAAAAAAGAGAATCAGTTGTTGAAATAAGGTGAAAAAGTGAATAAGGAATCAGTGGAAACATTGCTCTTTCTGTTAAGAGTTTTTAAGTAGGAAATTCATATAGAAAAGAAATGTTCCCTTGCAGCTTTTCTGAACATATCTACTTGAAACTGAGAAGAGAAGTCCAAAATAAGTAAGCACTTTCGCTTAAAGTTATAACATCAAATTTTCCAAAAAAGACGAAAAGATTTCGTCAGTTTGCATATACAGTCAATATTTGGAAAAAAGCTGTGAGTGTGTTTGGAAAAAAGGTGTATTAGATTAATAATACCTTTTTACCCCTAGACGCACCGTCTCAATCAAAATGCTTCTTTCCATTAATAATATTTGCCGTTAATCAGCTAAAACAATGGTCCTGTACGCTGAGAAATATGCAGCGTACAGGGAGCGAACAGCCTCAAAGTTGGTTCAAAATTCAAAAACTATTGCAATGTCCGTATTACTATTTCATAATCATTTTCTCATTCGACCTCTAATCTTAAACTACCAACAGCAAAGTGGAAAGGAAAGAAAGGCTGCTACATAATACTACACTGACTCCCTCTTGAAATGCCAATTTTATTATTGCTTGCCAATCAGGGATGTTTCTGCTTGTATTATGTGATAGAATTAAAGTAAATGCAGATAGGACTGGATAATGTCCTTATAGTTGCCTGGTGTATTCAGTTATATTGTTGGCCTATTTTGTTTGCATTATTCGAGCGCATTTTTTGCATTATAGTGCAGTCTCATCTTATTACCTTCGATTCTTTCAAACATTAACTTGTATTGAAAGTATCACGATTAGGCCATGAAGAAAAAGTCTAGACTGCATACCATAAACTATTTATAACTCGTGTAATGCCCTATGTGAATAATTTTGAAACTTTCGAAAGCCCTTTTGTATTAAGGTATCAAGAGAAGGTGTTTACAGTTACTTTCTCTTTACATCAGTGCAAATTTTAGAGGATTCAACAACAACTATTAGGACATATTTCGACTAGCAAAATTTTACTGACTTGCAATGATATGTTTTGATTTGAATTACTTTTGATGAAATGGTTAGTGGTAATTTTATGCAATAAATGAGTTCGAAAAGTGTATTTGCGTTGGGTTCTTTAGCAAACTATCGTTTTCATCATTTAAATGCCCTGACAGTGCAGTATTTTTAGTCATGGAAAAACGTCTTCGATATTCAAAATATTATGGGTAAAACAAATTTTATACTTAAGGCTGTCTATTTATGTCGATTTACTTTTGTCCACCCAAGGTTTTGTTGCATAAACAGCAAGGGTACGTCTTGCAGTTTGACTGACTTTATTTTGACATAAAGATTATCTACAAAGCTGATCGGTGCACAAAACAGTTATCCGCACGTTAGATATTTCTGCCTGTGAGGTAATTTCCATTTTTTGTTGTATTTAAATAGTAATCATGCGTATTTTTGCTAGTGCGCATTATTTATGTTGCATTTTGTTTACTTATATTAACCGAGAAGCATTGCAAGAAAGCATCATATAACGCTGGAGAGCATGTCAAACCCAATAGCAAAATTATGAGAGGGCAATTGTATTCACCCCTCACATGACAGCCCTCAAATTTAAAAATAATCGATTTCGCAGGGCAAAGGAAGATTTCGCAGGGTGCCAAGAAGAGCTTTATTGCCGCGCAGAAACACCACCTCTAAAGTTCGTAAAGGGCCGTTTAGAAACTTGCAAATGAAAATGGAAATATCATATTTGCTATGAACCTAGCCTCCCTTCCTGATATTGCATTTTAGCGAACATGTCAAGAAGAGCTCCGTCATTAGCAAAGCGAAAGCATTTCTTAACGAAAGTCAAAATCAAAGGATGCAATAATGATTTATGTATATGTTTATGAGGGCAAGGTTGAGTCCACACAAATTAATTTAAGTTGTAAATTATTTTCATGACAGGCACGGCACCATTGCAGGGCTAAGGGGATGAGACCCCCAAATTTGGTCAAGTTAATTTTTTTATTATTTTTTCTATTACCTTTTAAAACAGTGTGTGAAATAAAAAGAAAATAAACTGTTAAGATGCCGATTTTGTTTGATCTAAAGTGGCGTCGCTCTCTTGGTGCACTTTGTCATAATAAAGCTGATAAAAAGACTGTTACCAACGTATAAAAAGAATATATACCATTTACAGCTTTCCCGATGTGTGCTTTATACTCTGTTAGAATCCAAGTTCCATATTCAAAACGGTTTCCTAGCATCCGCAAATCGAACAACCGATTGTTTTCATTGACGAAATCTAGCCAGTCGCCTTTGTGGTGCACACAAAAATTTCAATTTTGACAGACTTGATAAATTGATGAATTTTTATGAATAAACAATTCTTCAAAGCAAATCAAATAAGTATGATAAAATTTCCTTCAATTAATTCATAAATTAATGTTTTCTTTCTCTCAAACCGTTTTATCTTGTCCCCCCTTGTTTTTTACTCCGTTCGGAAACTGAATGACTTTGACCCTGTGAATTTCAAAACGCCAATCAAAATACTCGGAGCGAGCAATAGGTGAACCAAAAGGGCGATATCCGCCCAATCAACATTGATTTCGTAAAACACCTCCTGATTTGTTCTAACTTTTTAATTCTCGCACATCAATATATTGTGTCAACATAGGAAGGTGGTTTTATTATTCACAAGGAAACAATTTTTATTGTACCTAAGAAAAAATGAGGAAATTTAAACCAAACCAAACCAAATTTAAGCTTGTCGGAAAGTTAATTTATTTGTAAGAAAGAATCAGGAACAGCCATTGAGTCGTCAGCAAATTATTTTCGAATGTTTTTTAATAAAAATGTAAAACTAGGCCCAGTCTACTATTATTTACATTTTGACTAGAGGTATTCCAATTACGCAGATTTTTGCGGGGACACCAAGAGGGCAACGCTACTCTATTTAATAACTTATTCACGTATATTTCTTTTATTTTTCTTTTATTTGCACTAAGTCAGTAAATCATTTTCTGTATCATTGCAATGTTTTCATTTTGGATGTGTAAACACGGCCTTCTCGAGACGAGAAACTGCACATTTCTGTTCAGGAAATAAATTCTCCCAATCAAAACAACAGCTTCCTTTGTCATTCACAACTATGTGCAATTTGAAACGAAAGGGTACCGTTTCTTTCCCTCACTAGAGTTTTTGCATGACTTCCCCCTCCCTAATTTTCCCAAAAAACAATAATCAGTGTTTTAGCAGTATAGTATTTTGCTAAACTTTTGTCTGGAAGATGGTTTTTAGGCCTTTTACAAGGTATAATTTCAAAATTTTTCTTACATTTCGGCCTCGACACTAGTGGGTCCTCCTACCTCACTTAAATTGATTCTTAGCCCCTCCAGGCTCAATTCCGTCGCCCCCTCTACAACATGTACCCACAAATCATATGCCATAAAGATTCAACCTTTATTACAAAGGAAAATCAAATTTGAAATTTAATTTACTCTCACGTAGAGAAATAGATATTTCACAGGCAATGAAGTTTAATTTTATTGCTTAGAAGTTTGTCCTTGGTAAAGACAAATGTACTCTGGTAAAGCTTTCACTAGTAACCTATAGACAAACTTTTCCTTCTAGGTCTGCAGGGCAACACTCAGTTTGCAGGGCAGAAACGGACCTATAGTGCTGACTTGATGGTGTTGAAGGCAGATGTGGCAGCGTTGGTGAGCTGGAATGACTGTTTGCAATGTTTGTGTTTGCCAGAGAGGAGATCCGTTCTAAAGAGTTGGAATGAATATATTACAAGTCTAAAAAGACATATGTGCAATGATTATAATTTCTGTCTAGTTAAAAAGAAGTAAAGAGCACCGAGACAAAAAAAGAGCTTTAGAAACAGGTCATTGTGCAAATAAATGAGTTCAATGTTTTTTGCAATATAATGAGTTGACTTTGCAAAACTTGCGGAAGTAGGGGTCTAAAAATAGGAACATGTGATCAGCTGCTACTAATAGTGTATTTGATACAAGCGAAAGTTGTTTTGCTTTTCTACTCGGGTATGATGCCCTATCCATCAATAACGCCCTGCTGTCCAGAGTACGTTCCTTGTATAGACCTCATTTTATCAAAGAATTTCAGCGCGATTTGGAATAAAACGACGGTAGAAGTTGACTAGTTCTATGAATCCTCTGAGTTTCCGGGTTGAAGTTGGTGGTTGAAAATCCTGGATGGCTTGGACGTTGGTAGGAAGCGGAGAAATATCATCTGCTGAGACGTGGTGTCCAAAAAAGGCGAGGGAAGAAACTTCAAATGTGCATTTGGTAGGATTGATTACGATGCGGAACTCAGAGAGGCGTTCGAAGAGAAGTTGAAGAAGTTCAGCTTCCGAATAGCTGGCAATCAGAGGTCGTTGAAGTAGGCCTATACAAAATCAAGGCCTCGGAGGACTTCAACGATAAATCGTTGGAATGTTTGAGCAGCGTTGGAATTACATAGCAATCAAGAACTGTGATGCGATTAAGAGAATGGTGAATGATGAAGATGGAGGATGTCGTTTAACAGCGGATGTGGGCGGGAGAGAACACTGACATCGGTGCCTGTACCCACCAAGAAACGTGTACCAGTGGTACGGTCGGTGACATGAAAGAGGCGACTGTGGTTGTGAGGGGCAGTGGGACTTGTCGCCGCTAGTCGGTGGCTTGGAAGTTTTGTAACTGCTGGGTGGAGTTGTTTGCTGTGAAAGAACATGGCATTGAACAGTGGGGCATACCGGAAAACAGGGACCCAGGACCTTAAGGCAGGACCCAGGACCCAGGACCAGGACCGAGGACCAGGACCGAGGACCAGGACCAGGACCGAGGACCAGGACCCAGGACCAGGACCGAGGACCAGGACCGAGGACCAGGACCGAGGACCAGGACCGAGGACCAGGACCGAGGACCAGGACCGAGGACCAGGACCGAGGACCAGGACCGAGGACCAGGACCGAGGACCAGGACCGAGGACCAGGACCGAGGACCAGGACCAGGACCGAGGACCAGGACCGAGGACCGAGGACCGAGGACCAGGACCCAGGACCAGGACCGAGGACCAGGACCGAGGACCAGGACCCAGGACCCAGGACCAGGACCGTATATGTTTTCGACGATGCACTCGCAGTTTCCTTTATAAGAATACCAAGTTATAACATTGCATACCATGAACAATTTTCCATAAAATCCAAAATCCAAAACTGCACATCGAACAAAAGACTGCACATCAATTTAGGGGGGAAAAGAATCTGATTTTATTTCTGACTTTGTGTGAAAAACGAAAACTCGGGTAGCTCGGGAATATGTAAATGTACGATTAAACGAAAGCAAGGCCTTGAAATGTGAAATACTCTTATTGGCCATGCAAACCTGACGTGGTTGTTTAGCATAGATGGCTATTGCTATTCTTTAGTAGGATCGGGGTATATTTTATGCACACTGCAAACCTTTAGTAAGCCCACATCATTAAAAAGCCACCAAAGCATAAGTAGTCTTAATATGTTTACATAGCAAGACATTAGAACGTTTCTGTGCTCTAGAAGCAGGAATGGCTGCACTCCCTTTGGTATGTTTTTCATGAACCGCGGAGCATATTAAAGAGTGAGGGGGCTGAAACTTTTTTTTTGAGGTAGGGGCGCTAAGCATGCTCATAATCAAGAACAAGTCGATTGTGTATGGTTTTAAAAACAGCCCCCTTCCGCGGTGCCAGTATGTTTATCATTTCAGATTGAACCATTGTGTCAAAAGTCCTGATCTGGATTTGAAAAAGCTTTACTATTCCATAAAATGTTTCTACTCTGAAAAATACCACTACATCTTTCTGAAAGCGGTCTCCTTTTGATCTGAAAAAAGCAGAAAGGAAATTTCTTTGAAATCTTATCGTGACACCCATAAAGCGGTGTCCCGAGACAGTTCGTCTAATTTGAATCTTCTATTGAACATTTGCAGTACATAATGACTTGGCAAGGTTTCTGATGACCCAGACAGCCAATGTTTGCCAAGAAACGAGTGCCATTTTTCAAGTGACGGAAGAGGAGACCAAGGACTCATAACCCAGGACTCAGAACCTAAGGCATGCCTAGGAACTAAAATGACCAAACAACCTGCATCGTGCAAAAAATTTTCCTGAAAATTTTGAAAACATTTGAAAATTTTCTAACCCTAGAGAAAGTGGAAAGGTAAAAAAATTGATATCGAGGATCCATGCAAACGAAAACAGCTGGAACGTTCATTTTGTATACAATATTGAGAAAGCTTTATGGCCCCGTCTCCCTTTTTCAGCTCTACACTACTGCTTGCAACGTTTACTCACACTCAAAATACTCTTATTAGCCGTGTGAACCTGACGTGGTTGTTTCAGCATAGTTAGCTAGCACAGCAATTACTATTCTATAGTAGGATGGGGGTATCTTTGATGCACACAGCAAACCTTATATCTTTAGTAAGCCCACATCATTAACAAGCCATCAAAGCGTAAATAGTCTTTATATATTTAAAAAGTGTTTAGACATTAAAGATGTCAAAGACAGAAATGGTTTGTCAGCAAAACGTTTCTTTGCTTTCTGTGCTCTAGAAGTAGGAATGGCTTCTTTTTTGTATGCTTGTAATTGCCGGCTGTAACATGCATCAGAAGTCATGATCTTGATTTAAAAAAGTTTTAAAAATTTTGTATTCAGGAAAGCGTTTCTGCTCTGAAAAAGAAAAGTGGCGACAATCCACCTAATTTCACTTTTGAGCACTTATAGCAGCAATGACTTGGCAAAGTTTCTGATCACCTAGACAGCAAATGAGTGCCATTAGAGGTACACGCATGATCTGTCACGCGACAGACATGATTTGTCGATATGCGCAGTGCCAATTGTAGACAAGCAAAATCACTCGCCAGGATCACAGAATGGGGAGATCGCGGTTGAATTCTGTGTCGCGATCGACGGTTCTAATGTCTTGCTATTTAAACATATTAGGACTACTTATGCTTTGGTGGCTTTTTAATGATGTGGGCTTACTAAAGTTATAAGGTTTGCAGTGTGCATCAAATATACCCCGATTCTACTAAAGATTAGAAATTGCTGTGCTAGCCATCTATGCTAACACAACCACGTCAGGTTTGCATGGCCAATAACAGCGCCGACGGAATGAAATTCATATTGGGGGGGGAGGCTGCCCATTGTTTCCCTTCTCATTTAGTACACTGTTATATTTAGTACACTGTTATAGTACACTGTACACTCATTTAGTACATACTACAGTTTGACAATTATTGGAGGGGCTCCAGCCCCCCCCTTAGCCCCCGGTTCCGATGGGCCTGAATAAGAGTATTTCACATTTCAAGGCGTTGCTTTCGTTAAATCGTACATTTACATATTCCCGAGCTACCCGAGTTTTCGTTTTTCACACAAAGTCGGAATAAAATCAGATTCATTTCCCCCTTGCAATGATGTGCAGTCTTTTGTTCGATGTGTAAAACTTTTGGATTTATGGACAATTGTTCATGGTATGCAATGTTATAACTTGGTATTCTTATAAAGGAAACTGTAAGTGCATCGTCGAAAACATATACGGTCCTGGTCCTCGGTCCTGGTCCTGGGTCCTGGTCCTCGGTCCTGGTCCTCGGTCCTGGTCCTCGGTCCTGGTCCTCGGTCCTGGTCCTCGGTCCTGGTCCTCGGTCCTGGTCCTCGGTCCTGGTCCTGGGTCCTGGTCCTCGGTCCTGGTCCTTGGTCCTGGTCCTGGGTCCTGGGTCCTGCCTTAAGGTCCTGGGTCCTTGTTTTCCGGTATGCCGAACAGTGGTGGGTATTTGAACCAAATCGGCGATGGCACCAACAAATGGAGCTTTGTGGGCGGGAAGCACTGGCATTTCAAGCCAGACGTCAACAAGAATTTCCCAAAGGCAGTTTCTCTTAGCATCCAGAACAAAGTGATCTCAGGACTGCGACCCTAATAAGAATGCGTCAGGCCAACCTCTGAACAATGCGGGCATTGTTACTGGTGATGAAAAGTCCAACAATCAGCAAACAATGCAAATGAAAGGAAGCGACCAAACAAAAAGCAAGGAGCAAAGCAACAAAAATCCCAGATGAGAAACAAACATCAGAACAATGTTGGCAAAGTTACTGAAGGTGAAAAATCTAAAGCTACAAATAATGCCATTGGTAGCTGTAGCGATGGCAACGACAGTGGCGTGAATGAAACTGTTCGAAATGAAAGGAGAAGCGGAAGCAGTGCTCACGTGACGAGTGGCAGTGAAACGAAAAGAAACCAACAGCAGTACGGTCGGGGCTTCAAAGAAAAAAATTTGCTCCTTGGTAAACAAAGACGTAGATCTAACCTCGTATGCTGCCGCCACGAAAGGCAAAGCCAGGACCGCTAGCAAACGTTCAGCAGTGATAATCGGAAATAACGGACAAGCACACCTTTTGCCAGGACCAAGCACACCAGTACGTTATATCCGAAAGTACGTAATAACCGAGTACGTTATAACGGGATTCTACTGTACATAAAACAATAAACAACACAACATATCTCCACCCAAAAGCAAACTCTTTCTTGTTGTTGCTTGTTACAGACCGCCAAGTGACCCAGCTGGCTTTTTTAATAAGCTGGAAAAAGCCCTTGCTTTCTTTGACAAGGAGGGCAAAGACATCATTCTCCTCGGAGACAATAACTGTGATCTTGCCAAGAAATCAACTGATCAGATACCGGATAACAATGGAAAGCTCATTTCTAGGTTGTATAAGCATTTCAGTTTCAAACAGCTTATCGAGGAGCCTACCAGGGTCACTCTTGACACTGCAACAGTCATTGACCATGTTGCTACAACATGTCCCAGAAACATTATAAAATCCAGAGTGCTTGGCCTTTGGAGTAATCACTATATGGTTTACTTCGTTCGGAAATTTAATGGAGCAGTAGAGAAAGGCCACAAAAAGTAAAATGAAAAATTTTAATTAGGAAATATTCTTTGCTGATGTTTCTGGGATTTGTTGGAAACAAATGCTTTCTGAAACTGATGACATCAATCTGATGTCGTGGACTTTTGGTCTGAAATATTTTCGCTGATTATAGAAAAACATGCGCCTTTGATTAAAATGCGGGTTTCTGAGAAATATTGCCCCTGGATTGACAAGGATCTTAGGGATTTGATGCACACAAGAGACAAACTAAAAAAATCAGCAGTCAAAGGTAAATCCTCAATACTTATGGACTCTTACAGAAAGATCCGTAATAAGGTCAATGCCCCTTATGTTCGGTTGAAGAAGCAGCATTATACCGATAGGATCTCTGCATGTAAAGGTAATATGAAAGAATCTTGGAAAGCAATTAATGAACTTCTCAACAAGAGATCAAAATCAAGTAGCATTGATTGTCTCATAGAATATGGTACAGAAACGCAGAAGAAAAAGGATGTTTTTAATGCAATGAACAATTTCTTTTGCACTATAGGTAGGGATCTAGCAGATAAAGTACAACCTGCCGCTAATCCCCTTCTAACAGGTAACAGGTCTAACAGGATTAAGGTTAACAAAGATAAGGCAAAGTTTAACTTCGAGATAATTGAGCTGAAAGATATCAGAGATACATTTGCCAAGGTTGAGACAACAAAGAGCTTTGGGATTGACAATATCTCTAGTTGCCTTTTGAAGCTTGCTTTGACCTACATTGGGAACTCTTTGTCTTTCCTGTTTATCACTTCCATTGAAACTAGCCAGTTCCCAGATGCATGGAAAGTATCAAGAATTACTTCGATTTTTAAAGATGGAGATAGGACTGAAAAATCTAATAATCGTCCCATATCAGTCTTGCCTGTCATCTCAAAGCTCTTTGAAAAGCTTGTTTTCAACCAGCTGTACCAGTATCTGAAAGAAAATGGTCTCTTTACATCTGACCAAGCAGGCTTTTTGCGGCTACATTCCACACAAACTTGTTTGCTTAAAATCAGTGATGAATGGTACAACGGGCTCGATCTCGGTAAGCTCGTGGGATTGGTATTTATTGGCCTGAAAAAGGCCTTTGATACGGTCGACCATGATGTTATCTGTAAAAAGCTCGAACTTTATGGGGTTCAGCAGCAAGAGCTGTCTTGGTTTAGGTCTTACTAATCCAACCACAAACAATTTTGTAGGGTTAATGATGTTGATTCCGATGTCAGGGAAATAGAAGTGGCACTCCCACAGGGTTCATGCCTTGGCCCACTTCTATTCCTCATCTATACCAATGATCTTCCACAGGCGATCCAAGATTCCTCTGTGACTATGTATGCTGATGATATCAGTCTTTGTCATCAGTCTCACGGTTTCAACTCAGCTGAATGAGTCTATAAATAGCGATCTCAAGAAATCGGAGACTTGGTTGCGAGGCAATAAGCTTTCATTGAATGTGGCAAAAACTCATTCAATGCTCATATCCACCATGGAGAAAGACAGCTACTTAGAAGTCGAAATGAAGCCTTGGAACTGAAGATACGCGACAATGAACTCGAAGTAGTTTATAAAACAAAGTTCCTTGGAGTGCAAATCGATTGCTCATTAGATTGGAAAGAGCAAATCGATTGCTCATTCGATTCAAAAGGCAGTTTCCGCCAAGGTCTCCAGGGCGATCGGCTTTTTGAGACATGCTAGATGCTTTCTGCCTATGGCAAGTTTGAAAACTCTTTTCACT